TTAGGAAAGTCGCGTAAAACAAACGTCGCACGAAACGTGTTGAAATCGACACGATCGACGTATCAACATTCTAAAAAATTATTGACAATTAAAGTTAATGGAATCTTTCCCATTTGTCTCGAGACGGTTTTTTCACGGAAAAAGGGGCTCATCTCCCATACGCGTCTTATAGATCCCGAGCATCGTCTCACGCGGGGAGAATAAATCGAAGTCAAGACTGGGAGGAACGCGAGGAAGAGGAGGAAGAGGAGAGCGCGTTGTCGACGCGTGACGGCGCGACGAGGGGAGACGAAAAATGCCCGGAATTATCGCGGAATTTGCATAACAGCCCGGGACCGCTCCTGCGGAACCGCGTTCGAGACTTTCGAGTGGCGCCGCGAGCCAGCAGTCAACTTGAGTCGATCCCTCTCGCGCCGTCGATCGCGATTGACGTAGCTGCACTTTGCAAGTGTCTCTCCGCGCTCGAACGGCGAAGACATTCGGTACGATCGATGGCGGAAAGAGAAACGACAGCTCGTGTAGCCCTTCGACAGCTCGAACTTGTACCGGAACGTCGATCGCTGCTACTTAAGTCGTCGTGACTCGGGGTGACCTACAACGGGAAACTCGCGGATACACGCGCGCGACGTTCGGTCCTTTCGTACCCCTATCGCGACGAGGGTCGAGTTTATTATGATTTGTTTTCAGCGTGAGAGAAAGAGAGAGAGAGAGAGATCTCTCCCCACCCATCTGTTGGTTCTCAAGCGTTTGATTGTCTCTAGGATTTCACGTTCCATACAAGTCGTGTCGCATCGACGCATGAATAAACGAACGGCAGAATCGGCTTGTTAAGTTGCAAAAACACAGACGCGACGAGAGCCGTATAGTTCCTCGTCAATCAATCGACAAGCGGGATTATTAAAGGGACGGCTATTTAAATTCCATCATGTGGGTAGATATCAGATTTTTCATAGGTCGCGCATGAAAGGTTAAACTGTGCGAGTCCTCCTCCGTCCGATAGCCGATGTTAAGCTCTTTAAATTCCAGCCAATCGGGGTATCGGTTCACGTCGGTCTAAAAATCCACGGAGCAAAGATTCGAGACACGTGGAACATGAAAGCTAACGTAAAAATCAATTTCTAGCGCGACCGCGCGAAACGGCGGGCGATTAGGAAAGTAAGTTAAATATAACGTGACGGAGCGGATCGATCCACGGTCAATTAGAGAGACATTCGACGGCACGTATGTGGGAACGCGTCGCACGAGTATCGCATATGTATGGCTTACGAAATTTACGTTTATAATGGAAGCGCACCGTTTATTTTGACATTCGCTGATTAGTAAACGTATAAACGTCGACACGATGGAACTTTATTCTAAGAGATGTTACTAATCAACGGGAATCGATAAAATGCGCGTTCGGTTTACGAGGAACGCCCTCAAAATTTCCACCTGTCGAACCGTCAAAGCGGCGTTAAATCAGTTGGAATTTACCGTTGACTACACAATCGTAACGTATCAGCATTTCCAAACCGAAAGATATTTTCCAAAGGGATTCCTCACGTTCTTCGTTGCGCGCTTCTAACGAGCACAATGCTATGTAATTTCTCGTCTTACGCATCGATTGCGTTCTGCGTCAAATTAAAGCGGACTTTGCACTTTGTGAGCTACTCGAAATTTGGAAATAATCACTTCGTTTCGTGATTTAGCAGAACATGGAATAAATCCGAAGGATATACGCGCGCGTCAGGGGGAAGTTTTCGTGATGGAAGGTGCGACATATGCCTAGTTTTCATTTTATTCGCCCAACTATCGCGAAGCGATGGGTCTACGAAGCTTCATTAGATCAACCTATCCGTTCCGCAGTCAGTTGTTTAATGGACAATTTATTTTAATGATAAAAGTACGTCACAAAGATGGTAAAATATTAAAGCGATTCGTTATGGGACGTTGCGCGCACGCGCGCACACACGTGCGGGCGTATTCTCACGACTATGCTTTATCTGTAAAACATGATTAACATGAAAGCTTTTTTATACTTCGTCATAAGCAAAATTGCATTATAAATTTCCCATTATCTCGTCTAAAACGAAACTTGGCAGCGCACTGTGAAGTATGATTATTTCGCTCGAGACCTCTGCGAATGGGAATGAAATTGTCGGAGACTGTATGGAGTTAATACGGGCTCGCAACCCTTTTCTCGAAATATACTTTTTATCCCGCCCTTCCTCTGTATATCACTTTTAATATAGAAATTCAGTATAATGGCGTTTGGTCAAGGATACGTGTGACGGAAATAAAAGAAAGGTGGATTCAATTTTAACTTCACCCGCGGAACTACGTTCCGTATTTCCAGATATTTTTTTAACGACTCGAGGAACGCGGTAACGATATTTGAGCCTTCTGTTTGCGATATTATCTACAGAGAAAGGATGCCGAAGTTTAATAGAGAAACAAAAAGGGGAGCGAGGAAGGGATGGAGGAGAGCGGCTCGGCGGCTCGTGAAAACTCGCGAGACTCGTTTTAAAAGAATCCGCCAAGTGTTTGCTTAAATTCTTTCGCCGACGGCGCTCCCGCGTTTCCTCTCTTTTCGGTATTTTATTCTAACAACACATCGCGTCATCTCTGAAAATCGCCCGTGTATATCGCGAATCGTGTCCACAAACAAAACTGCATCTCGATTCCGTTTTACGGCGTTTTAATTGGATAGCCCAGGCAAACAGTTCCTGTCGCAACGACCGTTTCGATTAACAAAAGAACTCGGCGGAAGAGAGACAGGCGCGCGCGTTCTGCAAATTATCAAAACGGATAATCGAGCGTACGTGGGGGAAAAAACGGCCGAACTGAGTGGAGTCAATTTCTCTGTTTGCGTATTTTCAGCCGCGAACGAAAAGAAATCGCTGATGCATTTTTCTCGTCCCCCGTTAATTATTTAACGGATATCCTGTCGCAGCTGCCTCGGCGATTTTCCACAGCCGCACAATTACTCGCCTCTACACGTCGTATAAAATTCATATATTATTAGCGATAACGTAAATTATCCGACTTACATTACATTCTTCTTCAGTGGATAATGTTTTTTTCCGCGCGCAAAGCCGAAAACGGTGCACGACAGTTCCCGGAAAATGTGAAATTAAAAATTGCGCGTCAATTTTATCGAGCTTAACGAGCGACCGCATACCACCGCTCTAAATTGAACAATTGTTTTGCAAACCAAATTTTCGTAATTTCGGTTTGCACGGCGCATTTCATTATAACGTGAAACACGGCGAGTCGCAACGACGCGTTTCTTTGATGAAATTTCACCGTAATGGAATACGGATTTTATTCGAGATATTGCGAGATAAATGATTAAAATTACCAAAGCGTCATTAAGACGTGCCGCGTGCGCGAATGTGCGAGCGAGCGAGCGATAGAATCGAATTTTACGCGAATTTTCCATGCGCGAGCTGAGTTTTTGATATCCGAGGAAGAATACGCGGTTTACTGAACCTATCGTCGTGGATGTAACAATGGTGTTTGGATACGTCGCTTTTAATCTGTCTAAGTGCTCCGCATCAGCAACTGCCGCCGAATACGCTTTGGATCCCCTATAAATGTACCGGGCGCATTTAATATGTCGCATCGTTTCGGCAAACACTTGTTCCCCTACCACCTGGATACATAATTTACAGCATCGTTTATCGCGTCCTCGCTGCGAAATGCAGATAGGGCTCCCTTCGTTACTTTTTACTCGGCCAGTGATAAACAACGGTATTATCCGCAAAACAGCAACCGGCTTATCCCAGCCCCGCTTAGATAATGAGGACTGATAAAACACTCCGTAGTTTGCGGATCTTCCTCTCGACCTTGTTTTCGTTTTTCAACTAGGCTCATTTGGTCGCGCCGATTTCTTCGTTACCTCACCATTGATTTATCAATGTCAACGTGTGTCGAGTTGAGCAACGAGCACTTTTTATCTTGAAATTTCCCAAGACGAGAATGCCATCATCGCCATAGATTCGGTCGAAATTGGCTAAAAATCGTGTGTAGGTTTCGCACGTTTCAATCCGCGACTATGAACTATCTTATAAATATTGTTATTATTACTGTTGTTCTTACCATTGTTTTTAATTATAGTTATTATTGTTAACTATGGAAGCGCAGAAATCCGATGTGTCATTGGTTGTCCATTTCCACGGCTCGGCTGATATTGATTTTTACGGGACACCTGACCAATCCTTCACTCTCGTGCGAGTGCTATGCACGCTATAGCGATCAGCTGATTTCGACGAAGTGGGTTATTTACAATATCAATTTTAATCATTCACGAGCACGCATTCTTCACAATCCTTTAGTTTGACAAAAGTTTAAACGATCGATCGATCACATCAGAGTCGAACAGGAGAATTCAATCTATTTATTCGAAGAATGTTTTTCATCGTGCAAAATACAAAATCAGTGCTGACATCTTCGTATTAACTCTTTCGACGACGGATATATTTGTTGTGGAAAAATACAACTCTCTGTTGCGTACGCCGTATATTTCCGTCGCATTTCGTTTGTATACAACGGATGTATACGGCGCGCCGCAACGGCGCAGTAACCGCGAAGTCAACATAAATATTAAATATTTCCCACTCCATTTGTTTTATTAAATCTCGCGCACGTAATATTCTACCCTGCTTTAAGTGAGCCGAGTCTCAGTGTCAAGCTGGCTCCACACGATGTAAATGCAAATGTAAGCTAACATCGGAAATTATATCGATCATAAATGTTATATTACGTTATTTATGTTATGTTACATTATACAATTGCTCGCGCGTCATATGCATAGTGTGTACCGCGCGGTCATTGAGTTCATACCGTGAATAGTGAAGACGACGTGAAATTTGAATAAAGGTTAATTACAATGTTGTACTTGTTTGTATTATATTTGATCTAGAAGAGAAATATCGACACCTCCGTATTTTTAACGCGCCGATATCGAATAATCGTTCCTATTGTCGGGACTAATTAAGAAAACCTTTGCTTCGTTTCAGATCTGGCAGAGTTTGCGATGCCGCACGCGATACCGCGAGACGCAGTTCCGGCGGACGCAGATGACGCAAGAACGGTGGATCCGGTTTAAGCGGAGGCTCGAAGGTGAGTTCACGTGTTCATTGTATTATTTCTCTCTAGCCTTCGCGGTCGAGCGAGGTGCAGCTGTCAGGATGACTTGGATCACGACCGCGAAGGACTAATCCGAATTAAAATCTCTACACGGGGATATTCTCCGCGCGTTGAGCTCTAAAGTTCTCAAACTCCAGCTGGCGAAATTGTACCTTTTATTTCCAGATCTGGGAGCAGCCGAACATGGCCGGTCTTCAGCCCCGGAGTATTCGGTAAGTGAAAAGAAACGAATATTTTTATGGTATGGTGTGGTAGCTGTTTAAAGAATTCCGTTGGAACTGTGCGGTTTACTTTGCTGGTAGACCTTTGCACGTATGTGTATGTGCCAATATCGACACAAAATATATTGCACAAAGCAACCTTAATATCAAATTAACTCGATACCACCGAGCAATACCCTTTTAGATGAGAGATATATATCGGCGGAATAGAAAGGTGATATTTTTCACTTAAAAATTCACGGAAAACCGCACGCCTGTTGTTGAACAAACGCGGCCGCGTTACTACTCGTCGATACGCAAGCGATCGAGGTGGCTGATCCTTGTAAACGTAATACCTCCAGTCCTCTCTGGAACGGAACAGCGGTTTCGGCGCGATACGTTAGGAATTTGTCTGGGGGCGAGATGAAATCACCTGGACGGGCGAAGGAGGGAAAACGTAGTTGAAGTTATATATCGCGCGTTGTCGTGATGTAGTATCATACACGGCTACACGCGACACCCCGCTAAATTCCGTTTTCCGTTTTGTTGGTGACACATGATTTAGTAGGTTCGCGCAGTGCTAATATTAAATCCGCTACCGGTATCGGGTGAGAGTGCCCGGTAAACGCCTAAGCGGCAAAATACAAATATTGAACACAGCGCGGTTTTGCGATACTCCGTCCTTCGATGCGTGCTGTATTTTGCTCGGACCGCGTAGGAAAAATTTTCCGGTGAAACGCGAGACACCCTCGGCATCGACACACAAGAGATTGATTGATCGATGAAAGTGGCTCGGGACATCTCCAGTTCAAGGTCGAACGACTTCCGTTCTCCTCACTTTGTCCTCCTCGCGGAGCAACGTTTTCCTCGAGTCGTCTAAAAGTGGCGCGCTTGGTCGTCTCTTTCGCACGAAGTCCAGTTAACCCCCAGATAACAAGATTGGTCGGATCAATATTCTAATGCTTTCGCGAACACGCTCATGTTTCAAGTATTTCACATATTTCGCGATATGTTTCTCTTTATTTTTAAATATTTTCTAACCTATTGTGAGAATGAAAAGTGCCTGGTCGAAAAAATTCGTTGAAAATCTAAAAAATGCTTCTACGCGCCGGATTCGACCCGCATGAACCTTGTTACTCGAACATTGCAATTTATGTTACTTGTGCGATCGAATCGGGAAGTACGGTAATGCGATTGACAAATAAACGCGAGCGGCATTACGGACTTTTCAACGCGAGCTGATCAAGAGATGCGTCGAGGGATTCCGTGAGGCGCGTCGTTCGACCAGCGTTGCTTCGCTATGCGCGCGGAATACATTCCGTCTTTTCGTAAATAACGGCGCCTATCGCTAAGTAGCGCGCAGAGCTGATGGTTAGGGGTGCTCGGCACGTCGGATACCATTTCCTAGGGCACGGTCGTTCGACCAACGCGGATGAGAAACTTCATCGAGCGGCGGAGAAAAGTTCGGTCCAGCGAGCGAAATAATTTCCCCGGCTGCGAAATTAGCGCCGGTGGAAAAAGAGTCCCGGCGACTCGATAAGTTATAGCGCCGTGGGAAGAGGGATGGTCGTTCAATTAACTCGCTTGTTAAGTTTGACAGGACATTTAAATTACTGTACCGATGGAATTAAATCGTCTGAAAAGCGATTGCTGCTCTATGAAATCCGACGGTGAGGAAACTTGCTCGGCAGGCGCGTTTGTCTCGCCCGTGATTATTTTCGCCTCCCCCCCCCCCTCATTATCCTCTTGGTATTTTTTAATCTTCTTTATCTCCCCTTCGATTAATCGTACTTCGATTCCATTGACTTTTCCGTCCGATATGATATTTTATCTTACGCCAGAGAGAGGCAACGCGATATTCACAGAATATACCGAGATGTTTCCGAGTGTCCTTTACCGCTCCAGCGCTGCAATTTTATTAGTCGCCTCCCCCCCCCCCCTCTTTGCTCTCGCANGCTCTCGCAAGAAATATTTATTTTCATAATCCTTTATATCCTTTATAAAGAAAAAGGAGAGGTGATAATACTCTGGATGGCACCCAATATCTGTCGCTTCTCATCGGCGAGAAATATCGAGGCAGAAATACAGAGGAGAAAGTTGCTCGCTCTTTGTTTTTAATTAAATATCGTTTCCCGACCAATCGTTAGGATCTCCCGTGCACAATAAGTCGACTAGCAAAGTTATTTTATCTTCCCCACGTTCTTTCTCTCTCTCTCTCTCTCTTCTCCTCTCTTTCGAACGGAACTGCGGCAAAGAAAATCATTTGTCGCACGGAACGTGTCGAGCGGTTTTATACGTGAAACTCGCGAGCAGCAGTCTCGCGCTGTGATACTGCGAACTTTACTCGTACTCCCAAAGCGACTGAAACTTTGAAAACGTCGCGCTCGCCGCGCGCGAGGTATAAATTATTTAATTGAAAGTCACTCCCCACTTTTTCGCTACGGGGATACGATTCGCTTTGATCGAGTGCCCTCAATAAATATTCCACTCCGATCGGATACGCCGGCTTAAATCTCGTCCGTCGCGATGCGCGACACGACGCGTCGCGCGTAATTATGCGGAATCGTCACGAACGCGAGGCGTGCGAAACACGGTGAAATTCAGCAGTTACAATTATACCTTATTGCACAGCACAAATTTACATTATTGCATTATACAAGCGATAAGAATCGTATTAGAATTGTGAAGGAAGAATTGATTTCGATCGATATAAATACAAAATATTCCCCAACATTCAGACGTGAAGGCAAGTGCCAAACGGCGCACTTTTTCCACGTTGCGACACTTTGTTCATTTAACGGAGACGCTGGAAAAAAAAGCACGAAGACGCGAAAGTCGTGAATAGTTGTTGTTGTTTTAACTCTACTCGAGATCGACGGTATTGTCGGAGTTCAGGCATGCGACAAGATCTATGCGTCCACCGTCGGACCGTCGTCGCGAGAACACCGACGAGGGGTGACTTTCGGAGGGGTTACGACGTTAGCAAGGATAAGGAGTGGTCGGGGGATAGGGACGGCGGTTAGATAAGTTTTATAAGCCGATCACATCCGTCCTCGTCGAGCGGGAGCGTTCACGCTTGAGTTTCGCTCCGCGCCGGTCGGGACGGAGTGGATGAAGTCATCCCCGCAGTAAGGAGCGCCGACACGGATAATTAAAATAATCAAGGTCGGATTAATTAAATGCGCCATTAGGCGCGTTTTCACCTGGTCGTCTATAGCGACAAATCCGTTAAGGCGAGAGAACGCTCGCGCAGCGTCAGCGTGCACCCATAATATCTTGCGGCTTTATTTCCGCGCCGACCGTTTTGCGTTAATCGTTCCTCCACGAGCAACGAAATAAGGGAGAGGGAAAGAGAGACGCGGTAAATAGGACTCACCGTATTCTAAAACACGGAAGCGCTAAACGTCACCTACGAACATCGCGAGACTACTGCGTTGATAATTCACCAGCGTTTAAATAACTCAACCAACTTACCGATGCGTTCACGTAAGGGCGAGTAGATACTTATGACTTATGAGGGAGATCGTCGGCCATTAATTGCTCGTGAAAACGTGATCGAATCGCATGCAGCATGTCCGATGTCCCGAGAGAGACTCGAATAAATTGAATAAATATAAAGCCGCTCCCGGGATCCTCCTTCGCGTTTTCTCATTAGTGCTTACGTTTAATTAGTTCTAAAAGCATCCTCCGCGTACTTTCGCCGACATTACAGAGTCGTAAGCGGATTTGACGTAGCCCTTCGCGTATCGTTCGACGATTTCGCACGTCGACGACGAAGATCAAAAGACTGCTTGATTTCTCGTTAATTAATTATCTAAGTGGTCTTTCCGCGACCGATAATTACTCCGGATGCGCTTATGGGAAAAAGAGGAAGAGAAAGAGAAAGAGAGAGAGAGAGAGAGACTGAGAAAGAAAGGGGAAAAGAAAGGGTGATGGAGATAAGGGAAAAGAGCGGAAAGGAAATCGATTATCTGTCGACGGAAACGGAAAGCGGGCAAAGGAATCGCGAGGGGGGAAGAAAGAAGGTGGGGAATGAGAAAGTACGATTTTCATCGGCGCGTAAATCTTCGACGTAGAAAGCCTGGTGTGACGACGATGTCAGGTTGGGACTTTCGCGTCGCTCCCTCGCGTCTCCGACAACTGAGTTTGATCTGAATTTATGCTAATTAGGCGACCCCGTATTCGTTGTCATTCGCATCCGTCCAAAAGTTGCAAGTATATCGAGAACGAGGCACTTCATGATAGTCCCGAGCATGGACTGCTGGAGTGATCGCATGGGCGAGTGCGACGTACGTTGCCACCGAGCAAAGTTGCTACTCGATCAACTCGACCGTGTAATGTTCACCGTGCGACACGTCTCTGAGAAAGAAAACGAACGGTCGGTTCGCGATTGTAACGATGCGAGTTTATATCGAGAACGTGGATCGCGACGTAGATTTCGCCTCGACTAGGACGTATCTCAGAGAAGCTGCGCAAGAATTGTTCAAGTCTCATTAGATTGCCACGTCACCTATACACGGGTGACGGTTTTAACAAACTGAAATAGGGATAATTTTATGAATTATTTATAGAGACATTGAATGAAAACGATAAAATATCAGTAAATTATAAGGTTCTATAAGAAAGCAATTAAAAAAAAAAGATAAATAAGAGCCAACGCAGATGTATATTTGCGAAGAATATAATATCAGTTTTTCTTATCAAACTTGGGGTTATATTAAATATTTACAGACGACGCAGATCGAGTACAGGTTCATGAAAGTTTCTTAACTGAAATAAAGCTAAATAAAATATCACTTCTACATAATGCGTATTACTAATGTAAAAGAATAAAAAAAATTAACATTACGAGAAAGTGCTTGAACCCATGTCGATTTTAGTGCTTTATTACATTAGCAAAGCAAAAAAATTACTGGATTGCGCTGCGCTTTCTCCTAAATATATATATATATATATGAATTATAAAATAATCAAAATTCATATATTTTTCACGATATATTTTGGAAAACATT